ATTTTAAAGATTAATTGGTCTCGGTAATGTCATGGAGCTATAAATTTGGTTATATTGTACAGTCAAGTTTGTTAGGAAATTGTGCATTATAATGCTGTCTTTTACTTCTTTCAGAATGTAAAAGTTTGCAACATGATGACATTGGGTTTCAAAATATTTTATTTTGATGACAGGTGTGTTTGAATTTGAAGAATAAGAATACCAGTAGGACAGCCAAGTTGGAAGTTTTTGTTTTTCAAAATCAAACATTTTATAATTTACTCCCTCTACTGTTGTTGACCTGTATTTTTTTATGACCATTTCAGTTGCTGAAGGACGACTTCCTTGGATTCCTGATGGAGTGGCAGAATGAAGTTAAAGCTCTTCCTGATCTACATGTATTCTAGATGACATCACACGCAAAAAAATGTGCCTGAGTACCGAAACCTTGGATGGTCTTACCATAACAGGTAAATAATGCCTCCGATTTCCCCCTCTTAATGCCCTCTTTTGGCCCAGTGTTGTCACTGTGTTGATGGGAAGAGGCCTATTCTGACAAAGTATCTGTGTTTTGGGGTAGTCACAAAAGAAAGGCATGTCACCTTTTCACGCATGCTAGAACTTGAACTGAATGTTGTCAAATACCCAGAAAGAATGTTGGCTGAAAGAAAAATGTTGGTAACTCCCCATTTTTGAGACAGACAAGGACACACATGTATCCAACTAGATTTTTTTTTAGGCACATGTATGTCAAAACGACAAAACTGGCAAATTTTTTGGTCCAACGAGAAGTTGCATGCCTTAAACTTTTATGTTTGTAACCTCCTCTTTAATTTCTTTTCCTCTCTATAGTTCACTTCTTCGTAGAACTTGCCAACATCTTACTGTCATCCACAAACATCAAGTTTCTGCTGAGTGAGAAGCTGAACCAAGATCCTCTGGAGGAGTACTAACAGCAAGCAGGGGGGATCGTGGGAATCCTGGGACAATCCCACCGTTGAACAGTTCAGCCACAATATGTTGGCATTGCATGTTGCATCGTCATGTACAAATGTACTAAGGTCTCTAAACGAGGGAACATTTGGAAGTAAAACCGAGATGATGGTGGTTACACAATAGATTCAACCCCTCTTCCTAAAAGAAAGTAAATATCACCACTAACAGCGGCAACCCTCATAGCCTTCAGCCCTTTGTAGTATTATTTTGTAGTATCAGATCCCTCAAGAGACAACTGACTCGGAGAGAGTATGTGAAGCAAGTGATAGTGCAACATGATCTTGTTCCAAAAGGTTAGACTTTTCTTCTTCCCTCTTAACACTGTGGAGCCTACACAGTATGTTAAGGAACAGCTAAAGCATATCGTAGCCAAGTTTGCCATCTACCAAGGACCAGATTACAGCAAGCCTACAAAAACTGCCCGCTTTGCCAGGGAGAGTGCATGTATGTCCGACAACAGAGATTAAAGCAACCACAAGCAGAATAACACACAGCCTCCAACATCAATCTTGCACGGGTCAAGACATTTTCTTCAATTCTAGTTGCGCTACATTGAGTACACGTTTACTCTTAAGAGATTTTGAACATGCCAGTGATTTTGGAAAAAGCGACAGAATCTTTTGTACAAGTCAATGATTACTTCAAGTTTGCAGGGTATCAAAGTATGACTATCACTCCTTTAGACTTCTTGCTACATGTATGGTTAAGTGTCGGCTCTCTTCTGGATGCTTACAACGAATGCATTAATTAATGGGTCAGATCCTATCTTGAATAGAAGGACTTGGAAGTACGTCAAGATTACAGGGGGAGTTTTCCAGGGTGTGAAATTGGGGATGACCTTCACAATCAACTTGAACCGTCTTAACCCTAAAAGGGCCGGGGGGATCCGCCCCCCCCTCAACATTTTCCGTGATAGCCTCTAAAAAAAATTTTTTCACGACCCGAGCTGTTATGACTTTTTAGCCTCGAGCTTTGCGCATCTTTTGATACCAAACACATAAAAATCGGACCACGGGTTGCCGCGTAGCGAAAAATTTTCCGGCGCTACGCGCCGTGAAAACTGAATTTTCGCATATACGTCGTGTACACAGAGCAGAATTGCCATTCGTACATATGAATAATTAATTAGCCATAATTCCAAAACCCTTAGACCTATAGTCATGACATTTCTTGGGTATGTCAAGGAAGAGTTGCTCTATGCATGTATCGAGTTTCAAAATTTTTCGTCACTCGATGGCCGAGATCTTAGGGGGGGCCGAATCCGCCCCCCCCCCGGCTGAGAGATGGTCAAAATAACCCGGCCCCTTTAGGGTTAAGGAGCAGCCATATAAGACGGGTGGGCAGTTTGTTACATGGTCCTTCTGTTTTTGCCGCCACGACGGGCAAAAACGTTGACCCAGCTGACATACAATAGGTGAAGCTGACATTCGAGCAAATTTGATCAAGGTTAGTTCAACAGGGAAAATCTTATACATGTAGGCCAACATAAGTAATGGTTACATATTAAAGGTGAACACAAACCCGCCAACTTCATAACACGTTACAGAATGGAAAAGGTTTCTGTTTTTCTGAACATGCTAGAATCAGTTTTTCTGAAAAATCATGCCACCTCATGTCACCTTGAAGGGAAAAAAGAAACAAACGATGCAGAAGTAAGAGAAAATTCACTAAAGTTTTGCATTATTTTCTAAGTGATTTATTTGTTGAAAACTTAAGGTTGACCACAAATAAAAGTCGTTCATAAGACTTTAAGTAAACGGTTGGCATATGATCACAAAGATTAACCAAGCAAGCACATTCTAGGGTTCAGCCAATCAGAACTTGAAGGCAGTTCAGAAAAGAGTGCAACAGGCTCAAAGGCTTTGAAAGAGTGGGATCGGCTCAATCTTATAAGACGGTCTCAAATAAGTTTCAATCATGTGACAGATCAACCAATCATAACACAGGAGGCAAGTTTCATAGAAAACAAGCGGCACGTTTTAAAGTCTTGAGATCCTTGGGTCAGGAGTTGCACCAACTTAACACACACTTGGAAAAGGAATGTTCTTCAGTTCCTGCCCATCGCTATTGCAGAGAAGACACACACTTTCAAGTTAGTTAAATGGCAGCCCACATGTTGAACGGTGTTGTCAATCGCTGCATATTGAATTCCATAAGCGAGGTAAATGCACGCGATCAATGCGCCCGGCCCCTTGTCCATCCATGAATTCTGAATTCTGACTGGATGGCACAAGATTCCCAACAGCCTCCCGTAAGGGATTATAACAGAAGTGGAAGCACCCCGAGAGCAAAGAAGCTCCCTTCACCAAAGACACATGCGGCTGGAAACGACTCCGACGAAAGTATTGGGGCTTTCAGTAAGTAACAACAGCGGGAAAAAAAATTGCTAGAAGTACAGGGTATTTTCATAATGAAAAGTTGATATAGGCAAACGAACATAAGCTCAAGTACGTGGGGCGCTGCATACACACACTACAGAACACACGTTACACACATTTAGGCCTATATACAATGGCGCGCATTTATATACAATGTACATAATAACTAATCAAACACTGACGGGCTATATTTTTTACAAGCCAAAATGGTCGTCGGAATTTTTGTTTCTTATATTAGGATCAGCGTTTAAAGAAATTTATCAACTTTATGAATGTCGTCAGCCCAAGCTTGTTGAACTTTTCGTTTTGACGCTGTAGTAAAAAACGCCTGAACATGGGTGCTAAGAAACTAGTTTACACTTCGTGGATGTGCACTACTGAATAGGAGCACAAAGCATGGATGTGTTTTTTCAAACTAAAATGGTCGTTATTGGCCGAGCACTGTCAATGACAAATTTCATCTCTATAGAAAGCTGAAGATGTCTTCTTTCATGTTCTGATCACCCCAGATTTGTACGTTGCCTATTTTTTAAGATATGCCTGTTTTGGTCTCTCAACGACGCACGCGCACCCATACTGAGCGTGTACACCCAGTGATGCGATGAGCAAATGTTCAAAACTTTTAATTATGCTTAGGGTTCTTGGATATGACGGTCAGCCGAACAGAGTCAGCCCAACCAGTCAGTAGCCAATGGTTCAACTGAACAACCCCAACATCATAATGAGCCAGTAACTGATGCTCCAACCAAGTAGCCCCAACAGCTGTATCAAGACATTCCCCCACTAACTTTTATGGGACTGGTAAGCACTGTAGAAATTTCAAATGATAACATGAGGGACATCATCTTATTTTGAATTTTGAATTATCAAAGGCATGCCCAAAGTAAATCACAGAACAAAGGGGCGAATCCTAAGTCAGGTCATAGTGTGAAATACATGTCTAGTACTATCAGGGGTACTACCAGTCAAGATTGACCATGCAGAAACACTGTAATCAACTTCCGAACCCTAACCCCCTAGTAGTTCCTCAGGACTACCGGTATCCTGCTAAATCCAACAGAGTCCAACCGGACTTTCCTGCTCAATCCACTGTGCCTCATTTTCAGTTGTCTGCTGAATCCAACGGAGTCCAACATGGCGTTTTAATGCCATTCAGTTGCCTGCTGAATCCAACATTTTGCATGGGGAATGTACACAAGGGGTTTACTGCTCAATCCAACAGGCTCCATCGAGTAAAGTTGGATCCTGTTGGATTCAGCAGGGTTAAGGTTAGCTTAATTCAAGAAGTGCTGCAGACTCAGTCACAGTTCCCATCTCGAAGAAGCTATGCATGTACATGTACTTTGCTAATTTGCATACAATACACAATGTAGTTTCAGAATAAACTGCAATAAAGTTGCCTCATCAAAAAATCAAGGGCTTGAATAATGGTAACATACCTGTATGCATGCTCAACTATTCGCAAAAGTATTACAATTTTATGACAAACACTTTTTTTTTGAGGGGGAGGGGGTTGAATGAACTAAGAGAACTAGGAGAACTAAGTCTTACCGAATAATGATGTGTTATTTTCCTATGACTGTGGGCAAGCTTGTAAATTTTCAGTTGAAAGATCACCATCTACTACAAGTTCCAAACAAGACTTACCTGCCTTGAAGCAAGGAAACAGGGGATAGGGCTGAGTTACATGCACCAAACCTGAACAGAGTCATGGGCTGGGAAAGCTGCTTCATCAGAACAGGAACTGGATAGATGTAGGGACTTGCATGCAGCAACTGAAATACATGTTGAAAAAAGAAGGGGATAACAAACAAACAAATTAAACATCATAAAAAATTAACACAGGTAAAGAACAGAATTACTTAAACAGGAAAATGGTGCTTCTGCCCATGGGCAAGACACTAAACTACAATTGTCTCTGTCCACCCAGTATGAATGGGTATACCTGTGAGGGTAGAGGACTGAATGTGAGCTGATATCAGCTGCCGTGCATTGAAGGAACAACATGCAAACATAGGCCAAGATGCAACATCACAAGTCCTAAACAGGAATGTCCCTTGCCATACTTGCATTTGGAAGCTTAAAGTTCATGGACCAAAGGAAAACACACATAACTTACATGTAAGCGTGTTTCATGTACATTTATAGTTTTTCACGTAGTCTATAACATGTACTATTGTTAAAAGTGTGGATTCGGAACTACAAATCTGTTACGCTGGTCAAAAAGTGTGGATTTGGAATGCAGAATCTTCAGTAAAGTGTGGATTCGGAATTACGAATCCACACTTTGAACACGTCTGACAATTGTTCTCCATAATGAGCATTAATAGGACCATATGCGTGAAAACGTTCCTTCCAAAATTACCAATGCATCTTCACTGTCAGATTCTCTGCCGTCGATCACTGCAAAACGTACTTCGAGTCAGAAAGAAATCATCGTCTGAACTATCCACATGTCGATGGAAGGAGCCGGGAAAAATATTGCAACCTGATGCCACTTTTTTCTTCATTTGTCATCTCAATGATGGTCATTCATTGCAAAAATGACGATAAGACATGAATCTGGGACTGAGAAATATTTCCAATTTTGTCAGGAAATACCTTTTCTTGACTCTCCATAGACTTTGTACACAATCGCGGAAGTGGCGTCAGGTTGCAACATTTTTCCCAAGTCTTTTCATCCCCACTTACTGTTAATGCCAATACTTCTTTTGACGCAATGGTTTAAGTCGAAGAATACACTCGAAAGTGTAGATTCTTAATTTACGAATTCACTCGGCGCTTCGCACCTCGTGAATTCTTAAATTACGAATCCACACTTTCTTGTGTGTTCTCCTTAACTGAACAGTGGACACGTTGCCCAAGCCAGATATTTGGGGGGTTTTCAGGGATGGTTCAGTTTGGGTCAATTCAGGTCAGTTTTTGCTTGAATTTTTGTCAGGTCGGGTCGCGTCGGTTTAGAGGAGTTCAGATCAGTTTCGGTTCAGATTCTGTTTATCTCTACAATGTTTCGGGTCGGTTTGGCCTGGTCAACCGGACCCGATGCACAATATTAGTTCCCAGCAGCTTAGAAGGGTAACAAGGAGCTTGCCTCACATCAATGTGTTGACAGGAGATGTTGATGCACCCTACGTTTGAAGGAGCACCACTGTCTTTCATCTCTCCCACTTCACAATCTGGGAGACTGTTCCAGACATGGACTGCAGTGTGGATGAAGGTTCTGCCGGTGGAGTAGGTCCTGGGGACTGGCTTGGAGAGTGCATGGCTAGGCATTGACAAACTGAGGCGTGTTGCGTGTCATATCTCATCATAGAGCAGGGGAGCATCTAGCCTTCAAGCCTGGTGTCCTAACAGAAATGAGACCTGTAAAACACTGGCTTCAAAGCTGCAAATTAAATGACAAAGTCCGAGTTTAAATCAAATAAATAGTCCATGGTCCAGACCAAATGTCAGTACCATCTGAGGTGGCAAAACTTACAAATGCAATTGGTGGGAAATTATTTGTTTTATCACCATAAGTCAAAATAAAATGATAGCCTTTCGTAGTGAGTAATATATTTTTGAAAGCAGGTACCCTTTTATACCTTAAACCCTATGCAGGCTTCACAGTGCCCCTCTTCATCAATACAGGTTTTTTAAAAAGGTTTGAAAATCAAAATCTAGGGTTTTAAAGCTTTTCCAGAAGGCCTTTTTTATGCAAAATCTTGCAACCTTTCAGCATGAGGTAGAAATATAGCGAATTGCTTACCTCCAGTTCTCCACACTAGATTATAGAAACCCTCTTGTGAAAAATCTTAGAGAGGTAGGACTATATCATTGATGTGGTTATTTTGGAATATAGATATAAGTGCGGGTCACTGATAGAAACGTTTGAACTTGCCACCTCGGATGGGGAAAAAATTCCATACTGGGCCACCACTAACCTGCTGCCAAACACACCAATTTTTACCTTACCTTGTGATTTCAACCAAGATGAATCCAGGAAACCTCGGCAATGCAACTTTGTGGCCAGTACGGAATTTTTTTCAAATTTCATTACATACTGGTACATACTTCAACATTCCATCTCAGAATCATACCCGAAAAGTTACAAGCTGCAATTAGGCCACAAAAAAAAAAAAAAATAGTTCTGCTTCCGATTACATGGCATTCGAAAATAGGTAGGTAGGGATTTTTTGGTGTGTACAATCATATGGAGACGTCTGCGTGATAGTCAAGGGTCAACGGTAGAAATTGACAGTTTTGGGTGTTTTTTCCTGTCATTTTTCCCATGTAAAAAATTAGTGTAGGGGCTGTCAGAATAGGGTAGGTAGGGAAACCGGAAGCAGAAATATTATTTTTTTTGCCTTAGCTCCACCCAGACGCCACTGCAGCGCCGTGTACAAATTAAGTCTATGGAGAGTCAAGAACATTCTGAAAGTATTTCCTAACAAACAATTGTTTCTCAGTCCCAGATCATGTCTTTTCAACATGTTTGCAATGACTGCCGGAAAGAATTCCATACACGGCCTACACAAACCCGGTACATGTATACCGTTAGTTCGTTTTACCGTTTTAGATTTTCTCCAAAAAAAACACAGTTAACGAACCATTGACTCTTTTGTCGTTTTACAGTTTTGTTAAACGGTCAAACGGTATTAAGTCACAAAAAACAATGACCTTTTTGTTATTTTTTAAATTGTAAAAAGCGATAAACAGTTAGTTGCTTTACTTTTAGAGTGTTGTTTTACAAAAACATGACAATGACAAAACAGTCAATAGTCTTGTCGACCATTTTTGGATTCAGGTTTGGCAATTAAGCAATGCACCTTGGAATGTTAATGTGTCCTTGTGATCGATTCACTGCCTGGGAAGTTGCCCTTCTTACAATTATGTCGTTCTCACGACAGAATTTGCGAATATTGGCTATTGAAGAGCCGCGCCAAACTCCAATTTCCTTCAAAATATCTGCAACTTCTTCATACGTCTTACCACCCTGTATCCTTTCTGAAATTTCCTCCTTGAAATTTTCCAGCGCCATTTTTGCTTGCAACTCTCTAAGCCCCGCCAAAAATGTCAGTACATGTAGATGGGGGTCAGGGTTACGCCAGGAATCACACCACGCATTAATTATGCCGAGATAACACTTCTTCGTGCACGGCATGGTCCCCATCCACCCTCCCCCCTTGCCCACCACCACAAAATGCACCACGGACTGTTAACTATGACACTGAAATAAAAAATAAAAACCGTCTACAGGTATTCAATACTGACCGTTATGCAGTTTTTGTGTAAAACTGAAAAACAAAAATCACTGATCGTTATGCTGTATTAAATTTTACTAAACTGATAAAATGAAATAACCGTATTTATCTTAATACCGTTTGACCGTTTTACAAAACTGTAAAATGACACAACGGTCAATGGTTCGTTTACTGTTTTTTGTTTTTGAGAAAATCCAAAACGGTAAAACGAAATAACTGTATGTCCCGGGATTCTACACTCATATTCTTTAATATGACAAGTACCAAAAAGTGAAAATCTGATGAAGAAACACCAAATTAGGTGATACTTTTGATAATTAATACTTTATGCTAACTTTTTCTGTCATGGCCCATAAACTTTGTGCAGGAGGTCTGAGTAGAGGCCGTGTATGGAATTCTCTCCCGACTGACCTTCACCAATGAAAAAAAAAAAAGTTGCACCAGGATCCAGCATTCTTTCCAAGCCCTAGTCCCATAAATGTGACTGAAATACTGGATTACCTCCGTGTATCAGTCACAGAGCCACGTACGGCCTGTGAGCGGAGCCTCCCGTTGCTAGGGGAGCCGAAAATTAATTAAAGATCGAAATTATTTTGTCAGCAGAAAATCAACCCAGCTTTAGTATGACTGCTAAATAGCATTTCAGTCACATTTATGGGACTATCCAAGCCCCCACCCCCCTCCCCCACCCCCCTCCCCAGCTGAGTAAACCTCAAAGACAGTCACCTTTGACAAGCCTGAATCTGCCATTCACGACACTCAAAAATTAGACCACACACCTTCAGTTTTGGGAATCTCACTGTAAAGTAGTCATGGTAGTGATGCTTGGGAACCCCGCATTTGACCGCATTTGTCTGACAAGAGTCTGAAAGGTCACAGGCCTAGACGTCAACAGTCAAGTCAGCATTACATGGCGTCGATTCCTTGGACCAGCACTCTACGGCAGGGTGTCCCATTCTCTGCAGCTGCAGTGCGTGCCCATGTACAGAATGGAGCTACACGGCACGTGCAGCGATCATGCATGCTCGTCGGGAAACATGATCATTAGTATCGACATTAGTTAGTTAACTTTTATAGACCCGTGAAAACGCCACGTTCACGGGTCTAGTTACACACTACATACTCCTAGAACTATGAGGCTCCGCTCACGCGGAGCCTCATAGTTCTAGGAGTACACACTACAGTGAACATCTTGAACATCTACGAGAAGGCATCGCTGAAAACCTCACAAACGCAAGATGTGCAACTGCATCGGAAAACCACGGAAGAAAACCAAACGAATTCCGATTTTACCATGAAGGAATTTTACGAACATAAGTTTCATCATGGTTTCATGGACTCGAGCCGCATACCACCGTACCGCCACACGCGAACTAGCTGGACTCTCGAGTCTCGACTGCGGTTGTTTACAAAAAGTAACCAGTAACTTTCAACAGCGCCACCACTTGACCAAGAAATTTGTACGCACATTGTTTTTAAAAACTTTTCAGCTGGTAACAATACTGAACATAATCTTGGTTGGGATTGTATCCGTGTATGATGGTGTAAACATAAACAGAATTGTCAACATTACATCAACCCCTAAAATCATTCATTAATTTCCAGCCAAGCTTGTCAAGTTCCATTTTGAGCAGCAACGTCGCAAGGTTGGATCCAGAACACAATTTTTGGGGGGCAAACAAAATTGTGATCCCCAAATAGTGTGTCAAAAACATTACGGCGTGGGGTTCGGGGCCCGCTTAAGGGCCCCGAATTTTGTTTGGATTCAAGGGGCCGTATCATAAGTCCGACGCCTCATAGGTCCGACAACAGAAAAACGAGGCGTTTAATTTGTCGGACTTACGAGGCGTCGGACTTACGAGGCGTCGGAGCTATGAGGTGTCGGACTTATGAGGCGTCGGACCTATGAGGCGTCGGACTTATGAGCGGACCCCGGATTCTAGATGCTCGGTGGTGCGATCTGAGGCAATTTTTTTTTGGGGGGGGGGGGGGGGAGATGGTGGTGTACTCATTGCCTGCCTTTATTGGGGGGGGGGGGGCATCCCCCCCGGGTCCGCCCTTGCAACGTCGTTGCTCATTGCAATGTGATGTAAATAAAGCCACTTTGAACATTAATATCTGCACCTTTTCCCCTTTTATATACATTATCGGTTAGTGCAGTATCCGTTCTGTTTTTAATTACATTAGCTGTCCTCACGTGATACACCGATTAGAAATGTACTACACTATCAGTACGTATAGTAGTCTACGGTCGCCATCTTTTACATGATTTACCAGCCCGAGTCCAGAGGATTGAAACCGCTTCAAGTTGACAGCGCAAATTCCACATTTTAATTTAGGGTAATATTTTGGCCACCACACATGAAATTTTAATAAACCAATAATTAATAATGGTTACGTTTCTATAATCCGACATCTCATTGGTCCGACGTCGACTGGTTCAGGTTGACTGACCCTAACCCTAAACCTAACACAAACCCTAACCGTCGGACCAATGGGACGTCGGCGGCCCAATGGGACGTATTGACCAATGGGACGCAGGGCCTGAGACCAATATGGCCGTCGGACTAGGGGACGTCCCCATAATTCACTTTCATCTCTTTTAGTTTAGTCGGAAAAGGGGGGTATCGTGCACCCTCGGAAATCAATTTCTAATCAACGTGTCTAGGTCAGAAAAAATGCGTAGAAAACGATTTGCTATGTTAAAAAATTCAAAAAATGTCCCACGTATTGTTTTTATGCAAATTAGTGCCGCCATTACCGAAAAATCTATTTTTAATTATATCTCAGCCAATATTGCAGATAACTGAACGAACTAGGTGTCTAAACCCATGTTTTCAAGGTCAGAGATCACAATAAAACTATTTTGGAAGTCACCACATGTGTCTGTGGCATAGGAATATGCAAATTAGTGCCGCTAATACCGGAACATCATGTTTTTGGCATATCTCGGCCAATATAGAACATAACTACACCAGTAAGGTGTCTAAACCCATGTTTTGATGGTCAAGTATCATTAGAAGACCATTCACGAAGTAACTATGTGTGTCTTTGGCATGAAAATATGTAAAATATTAAGTGTCGGTTTATCAGATATTTGATTTTTAGCCAATATCTCGGCCAATATTGCACATAACTACACCAATAAGGTGTCTAAACCCATGTTTTGAGGGTCAGGTATCATTAGAAGACCATTTACGAAGTAACTATGTGTGTCTTTGGCATGAAAATATGTAAATTCTAATTTGCCGGTTTATCAAAAAATTGATTTTTAGCCAATATTATATTCAATTTCAGCCAATAGTACAGTTTATTTTAAATATGATGGCTTAAAATAAACTTTGATCATTATTGCTTATCAAAAACCCTTCTGTCAACATTAGCTGCAATATTGGCCGAGATATTGGCTAAAAATCAAATTTACGATAAATCGACACTTTTGAATTTACATATTTACCTGCCAAGGACACGCATAGTTACTTCGTGAATGGTCTTCTAATGATACCTGACCCTCAAAACATGGGTTTAGACACCTTATTTGTGTAGTTATGTGAAATATTGGCCGATATATTGGCTAAAAATCAAATATCGGATAAACCGACACTTTATAATTTACATATTTTCATGCCAAAGACACACATTGTTACTTCGTGAATGGTCTTCTAATTATACTTGACCCTCAAAACATGGGTTTAGACACCTTACTGGTGTAGTTATGTGCTATATTGGCCGAGATATGCCAAAAACATGACTTTCCGGTATTTGCGGCACTAATTTGCATATTCCTATGCCACAGACACATGTGGTCACTTCCAGAATAGTTTTATTGTGATCTCTGACCTTGAAAACATGGGTTTAGACACCTAGTTCGTTCAGTTATCAGCAATATTGGCTGAGATATAATTAAAAATAGATTTTTCGGTAATGGCGGCACTAATTTGCATAAAAACAATACGTGGGACATTTTTTGAATTTTTTAACATAGCAAATCGTTTTCTACGCATTTTTTCTGACCTAGACACGTTGATTAGAAATTGATTTCCGAGGGTGCACGATACCCCCCTTTTCCGACTGAACTATTTTTGATATTTTGGATATCACTTCTTTTGTCCATACTCGATCTGTCAAAAGGAACGGTCTGATCTCAGCATCAATTTTAGTTGTTAGTTTTTAATTATTTCAATTGTTAATTTTACTATTTAAACACTGAAATATACTTGATATAATCCATGATAACCGTGATTACACGGTGTACATATTTTTGTTATGATCTACAAACTTGTTTGTACACTTTTTTCCCGCTCATTTTCCGTGTTTCTTATGAAAAACAATATTTTTCAGACGAACATAATTATGTTCGTCTGAAAAATATATCGACAAAAGTCAAATGTGAATCCACTGTGACATGAACCTGACTTCCTTTTTGGGCACTCCTTTTTATTTTTGTGGTTCTCAGTTCCGACCGATCAGTTTTGAACCCCATTAACCCTAAAAAGGCCGGGTTTGGGGGGGGGGCAGAAATCGCCCCTTGTTACATTTTCTATGAAAGGTGCGCTTGCACGGCGCGCACGCGTTATTGGCAAATTCGGGCAACCTCGTCCCCAGTGCTTACTTTATTTCCAACACGGTTTCCAATAGTAAACCCTGGATAGGAAACTTTCTTCCTGTATCCTGATTGGATACCGCAATTGGCTAGTTATGGATTTTTATCGTGTACTTGCAAGTGCTATTATTCACAACGTGCAGTACGTGTTTTCGCGATCATTCGTCCACGTCTTCTCGAAAATACTAATTTCCTTTCTAATTTGCTCATATTAATATGAAATATGATACTGCATGTTGTCTCGATAAGATCGTAACAGTTTGATTTCAAAAATCGTGTTTTCGTAACTCACGCCGTGCTCGCGCTGCTACGAATTGACTCTGTTTTTACCCCAGACACCGCATACAAAAACAAACGCTAATGTGTAACGCATATCCTTTTTATATTAGTATTTTTATATATATATTTTTACTCTGTACATAACTTGATGAGGAGTGGCAGGTCTTTGACCACAGTGATTGTTATCGCTTTTGCCTCTCCTATGCCCATCTTGTATGTGATGAAATAGAATTGGCATGAATAAATAATAATAATAATAATATCCAGGCACCAGACTGTTCCTCATTTGCATACGTGTGCAAAAATGTTGCACATGCAAATGATCCAATACCAGGGTGAGAGAGCAGGTAGTGGTGGGCGCGTACTGCTCGACACCCTGGGGACGAGGTTGAAATTCGGGCGATTCACAATGCAGTGCGCCACCAAGAGTTTGCCATGGAGAATCCATTTTTTCAAGTTTACGACGGTCGACAAAACGTGGCCCATTTGAATGAGTGTCAGTAGACAACTTGAGCTTAATTGTGACAGACTGGGGCATAGCGTTCTGCTGCTTTACAAGAAACACCATATTGATAAAAGAAAAGAAAAAGGGCAAACAGATACTCGAATCATAATTATACGCTAACGAAACTACTAACCGGAAAAACGAACAATTTCAAATGTCCCGCGCTGCGAATTTGTCGACCATACGAGGAAAAATGAACTCTCTGGGCAAACTCTTGGTGGTGCACTGCATTGTGAATCGCCCGAATTAGCACAAGCGCTGTATCTAGGTTTAATGGGTTAACTCAGCATGCACGAATTTGTCATTTTTGTGACCAAAATTGGTTGAGCATGGCAAAAGTCAGCATTAGAATAATCCACTTAGCCATAAATGTTCCATACTCACTATCGGCCTGTATTTTCAGCATCATGCAGTCACTCAAATCTTTGACGGCCTTTACAACTCTACCCGATGTTCCCCAATACCTATGTTCCCCAACACCGATGTTCCCCGAAATCC